AATACTTGAAGTATTATTTTGGGATTCATGTATTTTTATGGATCATATTAAAAAAACACTAGTTTGGTTTAGTAGTTAAGGTTCTGGACTAGAAGTGGGGAAACCTGAATTCTAGTCCTGCCTTGGGCATGGAAGCCATCTGGGAGACTTTGTGCCAGTTCTCTCTCTTAATCATAGCAAGTATGACCTGGCAAACCATCATGTTCCAAGAAAATTGCATAGCTCATACAATTATAGGGCTAGAAAAGATCTTGGAAATCTTATAGTCAAATCCTTTCTCAAGGCAGGAATCATTTGTTAATGTAGTTACTAGGAATCAGGAGGAAGGGAGGGAGGGAAGAAGACATTCTGTTTTCTGTAAGACGGTAAATAATCTATTCACAAACTAGATATACTCTGTATGTTTATCTACCATTACAAGACAGGTAGTTATGTAAGGTTTCGATGTATTGCAGAATAGGATGGTCACTTATAAAAGAAGATACAAAAGAAAATATTTGTATTAAGATATTCAGTTTGCAAAATACTTGTAAAATTTCTTTTAAAATATATTGTTGGTTCAAATCTGTTTGTTTCAGAGAGTACTGTGAATACCACACAGTCACAAATGTTACCTAAAAGGGAGACACATAGGCTTGTATCGTACTACTGAAATTCAATCCATCTCAGTTTCAGTGGTCCAGCAAGCCATCGTTTGATACTCACTGGAAACATTAATGTAACTCTCCAGTCCATGACTCACCTGTGGATGATATTCCTGCTTTGGAGATAATCCAAAGCCAGTGCTAGCTCACAGATGAATAGTTTCACAGTCTCCTCTTCAAAACGGACATTTTGTTGCAGGTGATAACGTAAATCTCCTCCAAGAAGCAGATCCACCACCATAAACATGTCTTCTTCATCCTGGAATGAGTACCTGGAAAAGGATGCACAATACTTAAGAGAAATATGCAAAATAGTCCATTGGTTAGAATGTTGGCTTGCCAGGATTCTGTTTCAGGACATTTTGTGGATGCACAGCATAATAAATCATAAAAAAGAAACAGGTTCAAAGAAAAAGAAGAAAAGAAAAGCAGACAGAAATCTATAATCTAAAATAGTGTGACCTCACACTATATTGATATGATTCACCTGGCTCTTAATGTTTGTTGAAATAATACTTTTATAAAAAGATGTGTTGCTATGTCCTGACTAATAATTAGTATGGCATTTCTCATTTTGAAGGCTACCATGTATTGTTGTTGGAAACAGTTTTGCTTCATTTGATAACGTTCAGTGATAACATGAAAAAAATAGTGCAAACATATGAGTATATATTACTATTTTGTATATTTCCAAGGTAAGCTTTGTCACTAGACAGAAAAATTGTAGAACTGACTCTTGCTATAAATTCAGTCCTGCTGCTAATTTCTTATACTCCTTTTTATACATTCTCCCAAAACTTCCTCTCAAGATCTACTCTAATCTTTAAAATGCCAGCAAATTACATGTGGTCCAAAAAAAAAAAAAATCAATACATTTAGTCTTGGAACAGTCACTGTTTTTAAACAAAGAGGAAAGTTAGCTGCTGCCAAGCCAAGGGATTCCCTAAGGAGGCACATAATTAAATACAAAGTAACCACATTATCTTTAAGTCAATGAATGAAGTAAGATTCATGAGAATAAGAAGCAAGGCAAAAGTCTATACTAGATTTGGCATGCTATCTGAAAATTATGGGCATAGTCATGTTGAATTTATGTTTACCAACAAAGAAATAAAGGGAGATGTTTACTTTGTAGGTAAATATAAATTGGACACAAAAATAGTTTGTCATTAAAGCGACTGCCTGCGAAGGCTCCCGGATTGGGGCTGAAAGGCCAAAGCAGAAGCAGTATGCTCCTCCATCCCATAATTGGGTAGACCAGGTTAGCACAAGATGGTGAAGAACTTCTCTAAAAAATCATCTCTTCGGAATCAGAAATAACACATAAACTAGCCTACTATGTTGGACTTATATTGCTCCCTCAGGACAGGTTGATAATCCAGGGCCCCTCAAAATTTTCAGAACACCCTGAAATGATAAACGAGTTTATATACCTCCCCCCATAAATAAAACTGATCAGCTCATTGAAGTTATGGTTGGGCTAGAAATAAAGATGATGAATAATTTTAATAATTAAAGTATAATTATAAGTCTTAAAATTGCTTTTAGTTTGGCTACACAAATCTATATTGTGTTTTAACAAAACTCATAACCTTCCCTCTTACATACTGCTCATAACCCCCACAGAGTCATGATCCACAATTTGAGAAATTATAATATAATTCAACAATAAAAAAAACTTTTCCCAGATTCAGTCCTGCCCAGTCCTGGAAATTTTTTAACAGCCTAAAATCCTGCAAAACATAGACCAATTTTACCTTATCTCTAAATCAGGAGTGTCAAACTCGATTTCACTGAGAGCCACATCAGAGTTGTGTTTGACCTCGGGGGCCAGGGTGGGCATGGCCGGGTCAACATTATTTGTGTTGGGAGCACTTGTGGTGGCCTGAGCGCTCTGCCAGTGAAAATGAGCTCCCAAGCTCCATTTTTGGCTCCTGCAATCCTCTGCCAGCAAGAACGGAGCTCTGGAGGGTCACACGCAGCCCTCCCGACCTCCACTATCATCACAGGCTGGTCCTTCAGTGTTTTCAAGGTGGCCTCGCAGGCCAGATCTAAGAACCTTGAGTTTGACACCCCTCCTCTAGATTATGATAAGCTAATCAGTCCTAAATCTGTTATGTTTTAATGTTAATGTTATATTGTCAATTTTCTACAAATACACACTTACTACTAGAAAATCTGTATATGAGGACGTACATAATTTCTTGAAATATAAGATTTTTGAAAACACAAATAACTCTATATAATTTTTTTTAAAAACCACCAATAGATAATTTTTAAAACTCATCCTATTCCTATATGCTGTTTCTTAGCCATTCTTCCCATATAATGCATTGTGCAATTTATAACAGAACAGATGCTGGTAGATTCCAGTCACTGCTTCCCATCTACTCCATGGCAAGATCACTTCTGGTGGATCAAGTTAATTCATTCTCACTGCAAATCACAAGATTTTTTATTTTGTTTTGCATCCTTAGAAATAGAACAAGCAGTGGTTGGACTCAGAGTAAAGCAGCTTTCAATAAAAAACAGTAATCACACATAATTGAATATATGTTTACATTTTAAAAAAATATTTGCAACTCAGTATACTTCTAGATTCATAAATACTTGCACATCATGGCAAAAGGTATGAGAAAGACCAAACTATTTCCTTACTGTATGAGCAGTGAGCATAGGACTGCAGTGCATGAACCTTTTCAAACCACAACTCATTGTATTTGTTTTGCAAATAAATATGGCTCTACTGTAGAAAACATACAAGTGAAACTCGAAAAATTAGAATATTGTGCAAAAGTTCATTTATTTCAGTAATGCAACTTAAAAGGTGAAACTAATGTATGAGATAGACTCATTACATGCAAAGCAAGATAGTTCAAGCCGTGATTTCTCATAATTGAGATGATTATGGCTTGCAGCTCATGAAAACCCCAAATCCACAATCTCAGAAAATTAGAATATTACATGCAATCAATAAAACAAGGATTGTACATAGAATATCGAACCTCTGAAAAGTATAAGCGTGCATATGTACTCAGTACTTGGTTTGGGCCCCTTTTTCAGCAATTACTGCCTCAATGCGGCGTGGCATGGAAGCTATCAGCCTATGGCACTGCTGAGGTTTTATGGAAGACCAGGATGCTTCAATGGCGGCCTTCAGCTCTTCTGCGTTGTTCGGTCTCATGTCTCTCATCTTTCTCTTAGCAATGCCCCATAGATTCTCTATGGGGTTCAGGTCAGGAGAGTTTGCTGGCCAATCAAGCACAGTAATCCCACAGTCATTGAACCAGGTTTTGGTGCTTTTGGCAGTGTGGGCAGGTGGCAAGTCCTGCTGGAAAATGAAATCAGCATCTCCATAAAGCTCATCTGCAGAAGGAAGCATGAAGTGCTCCAAAATCTCCTGGTAGTTGGCTGCATTGACCCTGGACTTAATGAAGTACAGTGGATCAACAAAAGCAGATGACATGGCTCCCCAAATCAACACAGACTGTGCAAACTTCATACTGGACTTCAAGCATCTTGCAGTGTGTGCCTCACCATTCTTCCTTCAGACTCTGAGTCCTTGGTTTCCAAATGAGATGCAAAAGTTGCTCTCATCAGAAAAGAGGACTTTGGACCACTGAGCAACAGACCACTTCTGTTTTTCTTTAGCCCAGGTAAGACGCTTCTGACATTGTTTGTTTTTTCAGGAGCGGCTTGACAAGAGGAATATGACATTTGAAGCCCATGTCCAGGATCCGTCTCTGTGTGGTGGCTCTTGATGCACTGACTCCAGCCTCAGTCCACTCCTTGTGAAAGTCCCCAACACTTTTGAATGGCCTTTTCCTGACAATCCTCTGCAGGCTGCGGTCATCCCTGCTGCTTGTGCACCTTTTTCTTCCACACTTTCCCCTTCCACATAACTTTCTATTAATGTGCTTTGATATAGCACTTTTCCAACTTCTTTTGCAATTACCTTTTGAGGCTTTCCCTCCTTATGGAGGGTGTCAATGATGGTTTTCTGCACAACTGTCAGGTCAGCAGTCTTTCCCATGATTGTGATTCCTGCTGAACCTGACTGAGAGACCATTTAAAGGCTCAGGAACCCTTTGCAGGTGTTATGGCTTTTTTAAAAATAGTTTTTAATTTTTATTCTTTAAAAACAAAAAAATGAAAAATCTCATTTCCATTAACAGTTATTGTGTCATTGTATATACATGTTTCTTATTTTGTGACTATACAATATTTTTATCCTTATCCTTGTGGGTGTTATATCTTAATTAGCTGATTAGAGTGGGACACTTTGAGCCTAGAATATTGAACCTTTTCACAATATTCTAATTTTCTGAGATTGTGGATTTGGAGTCTTCATGAGCTGCAGGGGTGGGATTCTGCCAATTTGCACCTATTCACTAGAACCGGTTGTTAACATTCTAAGCTGTTCGGAGAACCGGTTGTTAGAAGAAATTACTGCCCTAATCCTGTAAGGAAGGCAGGAAGGAAACATTCTGATGTTGCTTAGAGAAACTGCCTCTCCATTAACCCTTATTACATTCTTGGCAGGACTAGACTTCCTGTCTCAGGAACTTCTCTGAAGTTTTTTTTCCCTTCCTTTGCTAGTACTTTGCTTGTGTGGAGTGACCATTCAAAGTTACAATGGCACTGAAAAAAGTGACTTATGACCATTTTTCACACTTACGACTGTTGCAGCATCCCCAGTCATGAGAGGCCAGGCGAGGAGATGCGTGCCTCGATGTGAGTGATATTGAATTGGCCACGCCCAGCCAACATGACCACCAAGCCACGTCCACCCGGTCACATGACCACCAAGCCACACACACCAACTAAGCCACGCCCACAGAACTGGTTGTTAAAAAATTTGAATCCCACCCCTGATGAGCTGTAAGCCATAATCATTTCAATTATGACACATCACAGCTTGAAATATCTTGTTTTGCATGTAATGAGTCTATCTCATATATTAGGTTCACCTTTTAAGTTGCATTACTGAAATAAATGAACTTTTGCATGATATTCTAATTTTTCAAGTTTCACCTGTAGACTGTAAAACTAAAAACAAAGAAACGTAATTGCTTAGTTACAGATCAAGAGAGTCGTTATAAAAACTGTCTCAGAAAGTATTAGGGGTTTATTTTTAATTTTTTTTTTTTTGCTCTGCTGTGTCAAGATTAAACATCTGAATTAACTATTTGGTTGGTAATGCTACAAATGTAAGTGTTTCTGAACAAGTGGTGCAGCATTATTGCAACCCTTGGAACTGGTATCGCAGTAG